AAAACATAGACTCCCAGACGTTAGGGATCCTTTTGGCCACGGTAACATCTGCTTCTTGTTTTAAAGGCTTGTTTGTGTACCGAGTAGTAAATTCGAAGTTGCAAGTATTCCCATGGCGAGGCATATTAACTTTTAAGCAAATCTATTTGTTGTTGAGAAATCAGAGTGTGGCAATTCAGTTAGTGAGGGTTTCAGCAGCAAGGGAGAGCTATGTTCGCCTAATTCAAACATCAAAAAGTGTGAGATGTTTAGGTAACATCCTTCCCTCTTCTGTGTCCACCTTCCCAGCCCACATCCCCCAACAGAAAGCCACTAAGTATTAGTATAGGCTTTTAGATTGTTTCATCCATTCCTGAGATAACACAGACATATTTTTCTCTGATTAACATTTTGCTGCACCTTGATTTTTTTTTTCCACTTAATACACCTTGGAGATTCTTCTATAGTGACAATGAGACCACTCAGTGAATTTGGAGTGGTCTCATTCTCACTATTCTCATAATTATTGAGGTACAATTTACATACAATAAGATGCACCTTATATGATGTGCAATTAGATGAGTTTTGATAAACGTAGAAATGCAGGGTCTTGTGGTAAGGGCATCATTTAATGTCTTAAGAAACTTTTTCAAAGTGGCTGTTCCAGTTTACATTCCCACCAGCAATGTACGAGCATTCCAGTTTCTCTACATTCTTACCAACACTTGGCATTGGTGCCAGGCTGGTGTGTTCAGTGGCTGAGCATCAACCTATGAATGGAGGGCCCCAAAGACACAGTCAAGGCTCTGGTGCACTCAAAGGGGAGTGCTGTCCTTTGGCAAAGTGAAGAAGGCGCTTTAAGAGAATCTGTACTCAGCCAGAGTTTGGTTAGACTTCCCTAGACACCCAGCATAAAAGGTAGAAGGTTTTTTAAAACCATCTTATTGAAGTACTGTCAGTTATATTTTCAGAAAAAAGTGTCCTAAGTGCCCAGCTCAATGACTTTTCACAAAGTGAATCCACCCTTAAAACCTGCACCCAGACCAAGAAACAGCACACTGTCTGATCCCCGAAATCCCTTTGTTGGTCCCTTCGGATCATGACCTTCCCCCATAAGTAACCACTATTTTGACTTTCATCACCATTGATTAGCTTTGAACTTCACGAGAATGGAATCATTAAGTCTACACGGTTTAGCGTCTGACTCCTTTCATTCAATATGATGCTAAACATGTGTGGTTGTAGCTCCTAACTGCTGTATAATGTTCCATTGAGTGAACATAGCACAATTCATTTATCCATTCTATTGTGTTTCTGTGTGTTTTTGTTAAGCTTCACCGGAGGATATTTTTTCATTGCTTTTTTTAGAGCGAGGGAGGGGAAGAGACACAGAGAGAGAAACATCGATGTGAGAAAGACACATCAATTGGTTGCCTCCCACACGAAGGTGCAAGAAAAAGACTCACTCTAATTATGTTGCAGAATGGAGATTTATTGGAAGGAAATGCCAGACAGGCTCCCAAGGAAGGGTCTAGCCATGAGGCACTAAAAAGAATGGGACCTTGGACCAAGAAGGGTCCCAACCACAGCTAATGGAGCTCACTAGGCCTCCCATTTCTTCTCAACCTTTTAGGTCCGTGCTAATGCCCCATTACTCCCCATGTTTCTCAACCCAAAGCCCAGAGCAGTGGGCTCTTTGATCTTCCCACCATCTGACACCGGGCTATCAGGAGAGTCACTAGCCTACCCACGAACTGGCCCCCCTCAGGTACTGACTTCCTGGGAGCACATTATTCCTTCTTGGTGACCCTCATTCATCTTAACAGCCCCTGGCACGAGCCTCCAGGAAGAGGACGTGAACTCACTGGATCATGGAGAGGAATGTACCTGGAGCAAAAAGAAGGATGCTGATGACATCGTGTCGGCTCCCTAAGGGTGGGGAAGCGGATGGGGGCATCTCTTCTTCCAGGGACCAGATCTGGCACAAGATGTCTGCTCAGGCAACCCCACTGCCTAGCATGCCCTCTCCCTAGGAACCATCAAACCTTCTTGATTGCCTCAGTCTTAATGTTTGAGATGGTCTGCCTCCTCCAGGAAGCCCATGACCAAGGCATGCCCTTCAGCAGATTGGCACTGAGATAGAATGTGCCCTGCTGGCAGCATTCTCATCAATGTCAAAAGTCTCAGGGATGAATCTATTGTTGGGAATAGAATAAAAAAACTATATTTCCCAGAATCCCTTGCAGCCTTGAGTGGCCATGTGACTAAACTCTAGCCAATGAGAAGTGAGTGGATATGACATGTGCAACCTCCGGTTATGTCCACAATGGGAATGGTATACTTCAACTTCCACTCTTCTTGTTGGAGGGAATGTGAACACAATGTGGTCATTGTGAACCCTCACAATCAAGATGAGCTAGAAGGACCCAGAGTACCAGCAATTTAAACACCATAACATACCCAGACTAGTATGCGAGAGAAAAATAAAATTTTCTCAAGTTGAAGTTACTGTATTTGGTCTCTAGTTAGAGCAGCTTAAATTATAATCTAGCTAGTACAGAGTGCTAGTACAGTGTGAGGATGTAGAAAGCTCCTCTTCTAATCCATCCAAACAGTCCAGAATGGGCTTGGACAAGAAAGATGTGAGGAGGAAGAATATTGGAAGATAAATAGAGAGACGAGATCCAGAGAAAAGAGAAGGAGAAGTGGACAACATGATCAGCTCCTTTTTCTTCAGCTTCCCCCGAGGTCAACACCCTCCTGGGTATATTAGGGTTCACCCCCTCCTCTCACCACCTATTTTTCTTGGGGGGCAAGAGGTTTGGAATCAGGTCATAGAACGTTAGATGTCATAGCGTTGTTTTCATAGCTGCCGTCAGGAGCCAATGCAGCCTTGTTTACCAGGACCAAGTCATCAGAGATTCCATTGGACTCCTCCTCCTAAGGACAGGCAATGCCACATGGTCAGCTTAGGGGTGGAGCACAGGAAGAAATCCCAAATGTGGCTGCTTCAGGATCCATGAGTTTCCCATAGAGAAAACCCTGGTCACAGGAGGACTCTGGGAGATGTCATCACCTGATCCCTAACCCCGGAGGGCAGTCCCCCAGACCCCACGCCTCAAGGGGATTGGTGAGAATGTGCATGGCTAGAAGCCCTGCCCCACCAAATGGATTATCTCCAGAAGGGGACACATCAAGGGGAAGGAGAAACAGTTTTTCACTCTTGCCCAGGTGATGGGCAGAGAGACGCCAAAACACAGGTGGCGCTCCAAGATGTGTCTTGGAAGTGGAGGTGTCGCTGCTAAGTTCAGAGCGTCTGCCCCAGTCATCCAGCCAGCCGCACAGCAAACACATGACTTCTCTGCCCTGATCAGAATATGGCTCCCCCTATCTCCTCAAGGGGCCCTGGATCTCTATATTCTCTCCCCGTGGCCCCACACACCAGCCTATGGATGAGAGCAGTCTCTAGGGGCCAGCCCTGCACTGTGGGGTAGCCGGGCCTTATGTCTGTGTGCGCCCACATGTGGTTAGATACCTGCACCGTGTCCTTCTGAGACGCCATCTCCACCGAATTCTCACCCACGCTCAGCTTATGAAAAGGTCTCCTTCTGCAAGGGCAAGAGTGGACTCTGAGAACCTCTCCTCCCCCTGCCTGTCCCCACTCCTGCACCCGCCCCACAAGCTTGTCCCCAGACTGCTCACTGCACCAAGCAGTGGGGAGCATTGTCGGGGCTGGGGTACCTTATCTTTCTTCCCTCCCAGCCCTTTCTTCAGCACAGACAGGGTAGAGATAAGGAAAGAAGAAAACTACAGCAAGGTGGATTTAGAGATAATTCTAGAAAGGATACCCAAATTCGGAGCGTGGGAAGGAAGGAGGGCAGGCTAGACAGTATGGAGCCTGTGAATTTGGTAGGAAGGACATGGGGGAATGTTAGGGGGAAACAGAGAAGGCTGAGGTGGCCCCATCCACCCTCCAGCTCTGTACCCACCTCCAGGCGTAGAAGGCTCCCAGGACCAACAGGAGGAAGAGGAGGCCAGCCAGCAGCCCCAGGAAGCAGAGTAGGTTCTGGAACAGGTGCAGGCGGTGCAGGGCTGGAACACAGGGGAGAGCTCAGGGGGCAGCCATGGCTCCAGGCCTCCAAAGCTCCTTTCCAAGTGACTTTCCCAAGGTGAAACTTTTCTTTCACTTTATCTCAGGAGCTTCCCCATGCAAAGGAGCTTCAAGCAACCAATGTAGACTAGACAGACAAGCTGAAGCGATTCAGGGAAAACCTCAGAGGGAAGCCCTGGGACCTGAGAGCCAGGCCTTGTGCAGGGAGGCCTGGGAAATGGAGCCCTCCCTCACCTCTGGTTCCAAAGTAGGTGGAGGCAGAAGCAGAGCCCAGGGCGTTGGAGGCAGAGCACACGTATTCCCCCTGGTCACTGGGCCGCAGCTTCTCAATGTCCACCCTCAAGGCATTGGGGGTGGCTGAGACGTGGATGTGGGGCTCTGCTGGAGTGCTCAAGGGCTGGCTGGAGGCCACCACTCGACTGCCAAGGTGGAGGGTCAGGCTGGCTAGGGGCTCGCTGTCCACTCTGCAGTCCAGAATACCCT